ACATTCCTCCACCCTTATAAAAATTTCGTCCCCGAAATTTGCTCGAAACTCATCCTTCTATCAACACCCTTCTTATACTTCCTTCCCCCAATCAGTTATTCTTACCATAACAACTTCATTGGTAACCTTTGATCATTTATATTTCCTTAGCTGGTAGCATTTGTGTAACCTTGAGTGACTCCCTACCCTTTTTGTTTCACAACTTTATCCAAAAGTGATGAAACAAAATGCTGATTTGACAAGACATGTTGACAATTCTCCTGGTAGTTGTTGTTGAACCCAAGTCCAGAATCGAGATATCACATTTCCCCCATCCTTAAGGAAAATTTCGACCTCGAAATTTGTTCATCTTGATAAGGGTTCCTTTGTCGTCATATGAAAATGACCATGCCTCCTCTTCGCCTTGACCTATTAACTTCTTGACGTCCTTTCGTACTCCATGTAACCTACTTATTCCCTCATTTGCTTCATTTATACTACCCTAGCTTTTCTTAAAGTCTAAGCTCTCCACTGGTCCTTGTCACTGTGTTGTAATAGCGTCGAGCCATTTACCACTAAAACTAGTTGAGGGACTTCTCGTTGTACCTCTTCATTTCTTGACTCGTTGCCACCTCGCAACTGCTTAAGGTCAAGGACCCTAAAATCATCCCTTCATTATAGCCACTGCCATCTAGTGATTGTAACTCTTTCTTTGGAGATTCATAGTTCTCCTATTTGTTTATCTTAACCTATTAGATCGTTTGCTAGTGGCTAATTAGAAAAATGCTCGTAGTGCTCCTTTAACTCCTTTGACTCCCCGTACCTATACATCGAGATAGAACTTTGCGATTGGCACACCCTTTTATTAGGACTAAAGTTATTTATCTCAATATGATTAGAGTAGACTGGAGATTCTATAGACACTTAAAGGGAGACCCTTGACTCATTTTCCTTTCCTTCAAAACAAAAGTCTTTACTAAAATGCACTTGACAAATAGAATACCCAAATCTTAAATTATAGCGGGAAAAATTTTCATAAATAAAATACTGAAAAAACACACTTGTAGTTCAAAGCAAAGCCCTAACACGTGGGCAAATCAAACTCAAACTTTAAAATCTCAATCCAATCTCCAGTCTATACTCATTACCATAAAATGTAAATAACTAGGTAGTCTATGTCGTTGCTGCTACTGAAAATCTTAACTAGGCATCCTCCGTGATGCTTGCACTGCCCTCCTCTAGCTGGCTTCCCTCGAACTTTTCCTCTCGAACTCGCTGCTCTCTAACTGCTCCTCTAGCTCCTTCCTCTTCAAATTGGTGAGTGAGTTGGGGTCAGTCTACGCCCTTACGTTTAAAATTCTTACTGCTTAGTACTTTACTTAAAACTCTTACTTAATTTGGTGGAAGTTGTTTTTTCTTCCACTCTTAAAAACTTTAACTCTTAAAACTGTATGGGAGTTACTGTTACTCTCCATTCTGAAAGTTTAAATCTCAACTTAAATACTTGACTGACACGGGGATCCATCACTAGCTAGTCCGGTTGCCAACTCATACGTATGAGAAGCCATCAAGGCTTTCCTTAAACTTAAACTTAGTTAGGGGAGTCGTAACGATTCATCCCCCTAACATCTTAAACTTATCGTGGTGGCTCTTCACCACGATTCTCAAGAGCATAACTGCTGGTCAACTTAAATATCTCAAGAGCATAACTGCTGCTCAACTTAAATATCTCGAGAGCATAACTGCTGCTCTATCTCAAAATGTCTCAAAAGGCAACGGACTGGCGCTAGTGACTAAAACACTTAAAACGACTTCACCTTCTTGAAGGTGAGTTGCTTCTTTAAAAAGAACTTGTTTCTTAACTTTAACAATAACTTATAAATGGAAAGCTTTAAATTAACTAAGAACTCATGCACATTCACATCAAACATAGCTCAACCAAAATCACATATCATCAACCATAAGCACAATCAAACAATGACAATCATTTCATCAACATACGTAAAGCTTGTAATTCTTGAAAGAACACGTAAGGCGCATAATTTACCCCCTTTACACTCACCTCGAAAAGACGACTCGTCGGATGGCGTCATCACTCGAACTAACTCGGGATTTCTCTCTCAATTATCGGGAACACATCCCCTGTCCATCACGTCTCCTTCGCTGCCACTGCTAGAACCCACCACCAAAACCTTTCCCGTTCTTTTCCCTTTCACTAGAGGACAATGGACTTTGTCCATTTAATTCCTTCCTTTAACTGCTCCTTCTTCCAATCATCACCAGTGTTTTTGATTCTCCCCTAGCAGCTCTCCAATACGTGTCTAGGGCTGGGAGAGGGTTGTAGACGTGGAATTCCAGATTCGCTTTAGTCCTCCGCAACCTTGCCGTGGATACTATTAGAGCCCCAATAAAGGATTATAGCCGTGGGATTTGGCAGCAGATCATTGCCGGGGGGGGGGGGGAGTTCGTGTGATTATGGTGAGCTTTCCAACGAGCCGTGATCACTCTAAGACTTTGAGTGTTGTCGCTGGTCGTAGTCGCTAGGTGAGGGTCGCCGGCTTTTCCTCCACTCAAAGTAGTGCACAGGGTTCGTGCCCATTGGAGAATGGGAAGAGGCGTGGTGGACAACTGCTCCGGCGGTGGTAGCTTTTGGTTTAAGTTTAAATATTAGAAGCCTAGTAGGATGGGGAGTTTTCGTGCAGGTTAATTGTGATGGGGAGTGGGGAAAACTTTGAGGGCCGCCCAACCGTCCTTGCTATATATAATTGCATAATAACAATACTGATAATAATAATAATTATTATTATTAATTCGCAATTGCAACCCTTCGTACGTAACCGTCGATCTAACCGTTCACGTATTATGGTCGAACCATAACCCAAAATTCGGGGTGTTACATTCCTCCTCCCTTATAAAAATTTCGTCCCCGAAATTTGCTCGAAACTCATCCTTCTATCAACACCCTTCTTATACTTCCTTCCCCCAATCATTTATTCTTACCATAACAACTTCATTGGTAACCTTTGATCATTTATATTTCCTTAGCTGGTAGCATTTGTGTAACCTTGAGTGACTCCCTACCCTTTTTGTTTCACAACTTGATCGAAAAGTGCTGAAACAAAATGCTGATTTGACAGGACATGTTGCCAATTCTCCTGGTAGTTGTTGTTGAACCCAAGTACAGAATCGAGATATCACATTTCCCCCCTCCTTAAGGAAAATTTCGACCTCGAAATTTGTTCATCTTGATTACCCAAAGTCTCACTTGAGGTAATCTTTCCACTACATGGATATATACTTCATTTACTTTTTGGGTAGATGGTGGAAGCTGTGAGGAGAAATGAGAGGAGAGAGTAAATAAAAGTGGAACACCAGGGGAAGGATCAGAAAGTTTGGATTTTTTCGGAATTCTGAACCGGACTGAAATATAACTCGGTATGCCAAACTGAATCGAATTATATTTTGTTTCGAAATTGGTTTTGTGTGAAGAGAGATTGGAGGACTAGGTATGCTCGCCAGTGAAGAGGTGCTCGTCAGGGGAGATCCACTCCTGGATCTAGTCATCATATTTTGCCACGACATCTTCTGGACCTTCTTGCTGCCCAGCTTCATGAAAGGTGGATTTGCGAAAATAGCAGAGGGTGGAAGAAGTAGAAGAGATTTCAGGGACATGGAGTGGTTTGGCAATTGACGAGTAGAGGAAGCATGTTTGTTGGGTAGAGTGTGGAAGCTGTGAGGAGAAATGAGAAAGAGAGAGTAAAGAAAAAAGAAATACCAGGGGAATGATCAGAAAGTTTGGGTTTTGTCAGAATTCTGAACCGAACCAAAATATAACTCGGTCTGCCAAACCAAATTGAATTATATTTAGGTTCAAAATCCATTTTGTGTGCAGAGAGATCGGAGGACCATGTATTCTTATTAAATGAACCGATGCTCACTCAATGCAGCTATGCTCAACAATCTCCACATCCACCCTGCTTTCTCTCTCTCTCTCGCCCCCTTTATATGTCTAATGTGTAATGTCTATTATCCCCTTGACCTTCCCCACAATATTTATCTCTCCTTCTCCTTTTCGACCGTCCTGAACTAATTGATGCTCTTTGAATCTTAGCTTCGATTTGCTATATTCTTCTTTTGCTCTTTGGTTGGCGTCCTCCTGATCCAGACCCGAATTTAGCATTACCTTCCCCAACTAAGTAATGGGCTCTGAATCTTCCATCGTCCTCGGTAGGTGACGCTCGAGTAATTTGGCCTCCCTTTACCCAATACCCTAGTCTATTCACTTGCTCTTTCCTTATCTTCTTTGCTTCTCTTTCTGTAGTTTCATAGACTTGGTTTTCATTTCAATTCATTTTAGGCTATTGGTAGACATCTTTTGGCTGCACATCTATATTTTGTCTAGATGCTTCATATCTTATGCTGCTGAACTTGTATTTTAGGCAAGGAATGACCCGTTGGCTTGTGTTTGTAAATGGTTGTGATTGGAGATTGAGGCTTGCGAAAGATGTTATTCCCTATTGTTACTTTGTAGTGAGTTAAGGGAAAGCCTATGAGAGGAAGTGTAGTTCCCCAGCTTATGGAGGCGATGAATCCAGACAGATCATTGGGTATCCCTGAGGAGGGAGCTTTGTGATGAGCTAGCTCATCATCCATTCTTTATTAATTTTTCGTTTGCTTACTTGGAGCTGCAGCAACAACTTCGACCTCTAATCCTTTTTGTAATTTTTGCTTTGTGGTTCTCATTCAAGCTCATCCAACACCTTATCATGCGGTAGTGTTTATATAGCACGGGCGCAAATTTTTTAGTGTAAACTTCTTTTGGGAGCCAAGTGTTAACTCTTAACGCTGAACTATATGATGGGTACTGTTGAAGTTGTGCGAGAGTCTGATACTTCTCTGATCTCAGTTCTCTGGGTTAATGTCATCTTCAAGTGGCCAAGCGTGTGCATGTAATTGCTATGATTAGTTTGGTTAGATGAAGGTTTTGGTGATTGGATCTGTCTCTCTGCTCCTGTTATGATGACAACAATATTTAGCCTTTTTGTGGTGATCATATTGTCATCAACGCAATTGGACGATTCGTAGGACGAGATCATGCAGATTTGCTGATAACAGACATGCTTTTCATTGAACTTGTAATAATTTGCTGTTTTGCTGCAGCACCGAGGAATTTCAGACTCCTGGAAGAGCTGGAAAGGAGTGAAAAGGGTTTGGCGATGGAACTGTTAGCTATGGAATGGACGATGCTGATGATATATTGATGTAGTCTTGGACTGGAACCATTATCGGTCCTCCTAATGTTTGTATATTTTTTGTGCAGTAACTGTTAGATGGGTTTCTTTATGGGTTTATCTTGCGGTGGTACAACTGCCCTTCCGTTTTCTTCTGCTTGACAGACTGTTCATGTGGGGGGGGGGGGGGGGGGGGATCGACTAGTTGAAGTTGTTTTATGGCACGGAATATCCAGATTACCCACCCAGCGTAAAGTGCCAAACCCAGTTAAACATGGCTTGTGTCAATCCTGAAACTTGCATTGTAAGTGATTTTTGTGTGATAGTTCTTTGTGTTGGCTGCAATGGGTTTTAACTTCGTCTCCCCCCATAAACATGCTAATGACCAGTATTGTATCGCCAGGTTGAACCACGACTTTTCCCAATGCTTGCTAATTGGAATATAGACTACACAATGGAGGAGATACTAGTGCAGTTGAAGAAGGAAATGATGTCACCACAGAACAGAAAACTCGCTCAGCCTTCGGAAGGTATGCAACTCCTTCACTCAGGCATGGTTTAAGGATTTACTAAAGCTAAATTGTGGAGAAGTTTAGAAGCAAGGGAGTAACACTAGGTTAAATGCAGTAGTTGGTACTTTTTTTTAGCAGGGAACGAGGATGGAAGGGTGGACCATAAGGGACTGGTATTGAAATGTTGTATTCTGTGACCATGTTTTATTTATCAATAGTCTGTTATAAAAGTGGATGTACAAGATGTGCATAATGAGAGATTAACCACAGTCGAAGCATGATTTGTTTGCATAATTTCCTCACCATCTATATTAATATAGTATTTGATATTATATATATAGCAAACGCTAGTATGGCTTGCCACACTTATAATATGCACTTTATAAATTTCGACGAATGAGAATGGTTGGCTATTATTCTTAAATTTTTAAATGAATCTTATAGTTTGGATTAGAGAATTTAGAATTTAGGAGCGTGGTTTGTCCATTAAAAGTCAGGGTATATATCATGTCTTAAACTATGGTTAATTTCCAATTAGCATACAATAGTCTGATCCATATATGGTAAGGTCTAATGTACGTTTGACATATGCTATGTATCAAAATATGGATGTATCTATTGTACTCAAGTGAAATTCGGAGTACACAATACCTTGAGTGATCCTCACCTTACATACGATCTTGATGTTTATATTATGTCTTTATTAAATGAATCATTGATCACAAATAAAGTTATAAAACCACTCATGAAACATATAATGATTTTGTATTCCAGTCCATTTGACTATCGCTTTTTCGGTTTAATCTTTTAACCGATTTAAGACACATAACTTCCAACCAATGGCCAACAACCCTATACCCCAAAATTGATTAAAACAAAATATGACCTTTTCCATCTTACGGGGCTGGGGCTGGGTGCTCAGTTCTTGCTTAGTTTTCTTAGCAGGTGGTGCTGATGTAGTATGTGACGGGATTCCCGGAGGAAGAGTAAGAGTAAGAGAGATTAGTCGGTGAAGCGATCTTCAGTCGCAATTCACGGCTGCCTTCGACGATTTGGTTAAAAAAGGATCAGTTTCTGATGGCCGGTATGAGGTTTCTCCTATGAAGATCTCCCGTTGCAATTCATGGATGCCGCCGACGAATTGGGTCTGGAAGGATAAGTCTCTAGCGGCCGGGAATGCTCACCATCGGCGGAGAAGCAAAAAGATTAAAATTTTCTGACACTTGTTCTGATTAAGATTCAACTTCTCTGTTCCCCATCATTTTCTAGTCTTTTGATTACTAGAGGTTTATTCGACAGAACAAGATCATCAGATGGGAAGGATTGAGCATCGATTAAGTTAGAATGTTAGATAGCTCTCTCATCTCTCTTCACTGGTGTTTGCGAGTTAACTCTGATCAACAGACAATGGACTGATAACATTGTTATTTTCAAAGCCCATTTTTAAAATGTTGACCCAATTATTAAGCTATCATGGTAATGTAACTCGCATGCCAACTCTGTTATTTTTTTTTTGCATTACTATAGGTAAAAGCCAAGAAGCAGAAGAGTTACATGGGAGGACGAGTGAGAGAAGAGTTACGTTGACGGGAGACAATCCGTTGGTCGAAATACACTCCCCGGATATAGTCCTATATGGAAACTACCCCTAATGGTGGATGTGAAGCTCATGTAAACCGTAGGGATAGATGATACCGTACTTCAAGAGCCAGTCCGCGACTCTATTCCCTTCTCGGTATACATGAACAATGCCCACTAGCCAGTCACGGTTAACTCTCCTGCGAATAGAAGCTAAGAAGGTGGAATAAGGATGAACTAGATCATGTTTTTCATTAAATAACTGTATGGCGAGCTGCGAGTTAGACTCGAGTACGACGTGGTGACGCCCGAATCTCCAAGCTATATCCAAGCCATGATAAAAGGCCCACAACTCCGCCAAAACTGCGGAGGCTTCACAAATCTTTGCCATAAACCGTTGATCCAATGGCTGACTTCATCTCTCAAGATGCCTCCCGCACCAGAAAATCTCGGGTTCCTGTTAGAGGCTCCATCAATGTTGAGCTTCACCCATCCTGCAGTAGGTGGAGTCCATGCAATAGCTGCCACTATCAGAGGCGTCGACGCCTTCCTCCCACTCGGGAACAAAGAGGGGGCTCACCAAACTTCGCTCCAGAGCTTAATCTTGGAAACAATGGAGTGGGCTAAGGAAGGTGGAGTGAGAGTGGATGAGATCCCTTTGAAGCACATATTGTTCCTATTTTCCACAAAATCCAAGCGGCGATGCTGAAAAGGGTCGCCCACTCGACTCCCAAGTGCTCGCTAACATCCGCTTCAAGATTGATCCATAGCCAATCTGCAGCGGTACCCATGAAAAACCTTTGTTTTCTATCATTGGGGACATGCTTCGTCTAGAAATACGTAACCGGAGGACAATCTCTGAGTATGTGGAGGATAGATTCCGCTTGTCCGCTACAACGAATACAGTTAGAGGAGGAGGCTATTCTCCTGGAAAAGCGAAGAGCATTAGTCACAATTTTTCCAAGGCAAGCTAGCCACATAAAGAACCGTATTCTTTCAAGGACTAGGGGACTCCAAATAATCTTCTAGATTTTGGCATCGTGATCGCGCTCAGGTAGCAGAAGAGATTGGTAAGAAGAATTCATGGAGAACTTTCCGTTTGAATACAACGACCAAAATAGACTAGCTTTCTCGCAGTATAGCTTATCCACCGCCACACCAATAATCCTTTGTTGAATCTCCTAGGGAAGAAGGTCCTTGAACATGTCAATTCGACACACTCCCTCGTCCGTGATCAAATCCGCCACGATCTCGTTCGTCCGCGAGCTTGGAATCTCCTCCACCACCAAGTTATTCAGAGGTTCCTGCACAACCCAGAAATCTTACCAAAACTTAGTAGTATTTCCATTCTTTATATTCCACACACAACCTCCCTTTAACACAGAGGAAGCTTTGGTAAACCTTTTCCAGGTAAAGGAACTTCCCTAAATAAAGCAGAAGAGGTCAAGGTTCTCCTTGTTCGGCCCATACTTTGCTCTGTCGACTTGAGTCCACAGCACATCCTTCTCTTTGAGAAGTATCCAACCACTCTTGGCTAGAACAACAAGGTTGGCATTTCTGCATGGAGCGCTTGATTCTTTGGCAAAACCATCTTATCCCAGCCGACTAGATCCAACTTGGATTTACATTCCTCCTCTCCCTAGAAAAAATCTCTATTGATACGATCAATAGATGCACAAACACCCTTAGACAGGAGCTCCGTATGCATATGATAAGTGGGTAAAGAGGATATGATAGACCATACACCATTAGCCGAGCGGTCAGGGACAAATGTTTTGCCTTCTAGGGAGCTAGTTTCTTCTAAATGTGCAGGAAAAATCCTTGATACCTCCCTTTAGTCACTCGACCACGAATGTCGTGAATGCCAAGATATCTCTCAGTCTCCGCCTTCAAAGGAATCATAGCTCTTTTGCTTAAAGGATTTGGCGTAGTTGACACGCTGTCTTGAGTACAGAAGTCATCTAGGCACTGCTTGATTATCCTAATCTGTCTTGTTTCCGCTTCTCCAAAGAGTAATAAATCATCTTCAAAAAAAAATTGAGTAAGTGGCTGTCCATTCTTAGTGAGCTTAATGGGATTCCATTGCCCGCTATGAAGGGCCTCATCAATTTTATGAGATAAACGTTCCATGCATAAAACAAAAATATACTGGGAAAGGGGATCTCACTAGCGAACTCCACGAGTAGGAATGATGGGGGAGAGATGGTGTCATTCAAGAGCACGCGCATTTTATTCTGCTCCACGCAATACATGACGCATTGGATCCAAGAGTTAGGGAGACCTATTTCATTCAAAGTGTCTCGCAGAAAGTCCAATCGCAGCATGTCATACGCTTTGACGAGGTCAATCTTAAGATCATGCCTCCTTTTCTTCCTTTCCTCTTCCCTAGGGAGTGAAGAACCGCCTAAATTACAATGACATTATCTATCGTCTGGCAGCCAGGAATGAAGCTACTCTGCCGAGGAGAAATGAGCTTCCTCATGACCGGCTTCAGTCTACTAGTAATCGATTTGGTAATGGCCTTCAGGCTCACATAATTTAGCGAGATAGGTCGGAGCTGAGTCACAAATTCAGGATGGTCGACCTTGGGGATGAGCACGACCTTTGAGTCATAAACCTCATCAAACAGAGCTCTTGAGTTGAAGAAAGCGAGAGCCATATCTGTTAAGGACTTCCCAACCACACTCCAAGCTTGCTGATAGAAAGCAGCATGAAAACCGTATAGACCAGGAGCTTGAAAGGGCTTCATCTTGAAAACTGCTTTATGAATATATATAATGGTGAAGGGTCTAAGAAGACTAAGAAGCTCCTCTTGCTCCAGGCGAGTAAAAGCATTCTTCGGCATCCTGTCCTCGTACACGGAATTATCCTGCAGGTAGACGTTAGTATAAAAATCAAAGACCATACAAGCCAAAACGTAGGGTCCTCTACACAAATGCCCGTAGGATCCCGAAGCGTAGTGATTTTGTTCCTGCATCTCTCGATGTTTGCTTGCTGATGGAAGTAGCTGGTATCGCCCTCCCCATACTTGACCCAATTCTCTCTCTCTTTGGTACCAAATCAATTCTTCCTGCTCAAGTAGCATATTAAGCTTAGCTTTGAGTTGGAGTGAAGTTTGGCCAATCCCGGGTGAAAATCTTTGGAGAGTCGCATCTGCACCCCTCGAATACCCCCAAGCAGACGCCTCTTCCTCTACTTCATATTACCGAAAACATCTCTATTCCAGTCCTAAAGCGCAACACTCAAGGTCTGCAGCGCATTAGGCAAAGGAATGGTGCAATCCCAAGCTCCTGCAATGGTGTTCAAAAGAGCGTTATGAGTAAGGCAAGCAGCTTAAAAGTTAAAAGCACGAGGAGGATGGAGAGATTGCGCCTGGGAAGCAAAAGGAATAAGGATGGGATTGTGATCTGAATTGAGGGAGGGTAGGTGGCGGACCAGAGTGTTGGGGAAGACTGAATTCCACATGATATTACATAAACTATTGTCAATTATGCTAGCATTGTAGGTGCCCAAATTACCCCCCCCTCCTTCCAAGTGAAGTTGGGGCCAGAGTGTCCGAGATCCACCAGGTCAGCAGTAATGATCCTATCATTGAAAATGCGGCATCTCCGCATGATTG